TTATGGAGAAGAACGAGCAAGAAACTCCATAGGTTACTCTTTTCCAATCAATCACAATACAATTTTCAGTTACATAGTCTAAAAGGTTCAATTGTGCAAGAACAATGCAGCTCCAAAATCCATTCAAAGAGATCGAAAAAGAAAATAACCCTAAGGACAATAATATCATACAGTCTGGAGCTGACCAGTCCCAGTATTTGCATAGAAACATAGTTACACGCCATAGAAGACGTGATGGTGTGGCGCTATACTATGTATTACAGTTTTGTCATGACATTAGCTTATAAAGTGCCGGCGATATTTAATCAATAGCAATCTTATGCAAGATGTGAAGTGTGAATTATTTATTCAAACAAAAATTTATTTTAAAAGTATCTTTCATATACATTTATATAATACAATCAGCATGTCAACTTGAAAATATCAATACGACTTTCAAACCTTCAAGAAAAGAGCGTATTCCTTATTAAAAGACCGGCAACGTACCTGTGACTCCTCTGGTGGTGTCCATGGGCGGCGCTGATCGCTTACCATCAGGTGATCCGTCTGCTCGTTTGCCTACTATTCCATTTAAAAAAATCAGTTAACCGACGCTTGCGCCATTTAATGTTTTAACAGAATTCAATTTTTATTACATTTAATAGAAGTCAAGTATTTTGATACGCTTTTGTATTAAGAACATACTTAAGTACGTAAATAAAAAAAAACAAACAAAGCGCCATCTAGCAATCTTTACATTACCTACAAAAATTTTTTCTCGATTAAGACCGGTGCGTAATCCGTTATTTTTAAATAATTTGGTATGTCTGTCGACAGTTATTAATTATACCTACTTTAAGTCGTCTTTATATTTGTGCACCTGGTGACTGACTACTCACCTGGTAGATAACTAATTTTTATTTTAAGGTCCGTCTGGTAGATTATTTAAAATCATTAGACACGTATTTATTTTCTTACGGAAACAAATAATTTCGAAAATATTATATATTGATTTGAAATATCGCATGACGCCACTTTTGAGTACGATTTATACCTACATTCATAAATGGTGTAGCTACCAACTCCTAAACTTTGATTCGTTTTATCAGTGTTGTTGTCTGATACGACAAAATAAAAAATAAGTGTCTAATATTTTTTCATTACCTAACTGACCGACAAATTAGATTTTTTATTTTCATACCCTGTCATCATACCTATTAAAGAATATTCCGCATTAAGGTATCCGCGCTGCACACCAACCCTAGACAGAACCAGTTAATCTTGGTCTTGCATTGTATAATCTTCCCGCACATTCGACAGTTAGTTGATACTGGTATGTATAGCTTGATATGTTGCCATGTATCCATCTGCATCGTGACTAGCACGCATGTAAGCCGTGATTGTAAGTCAAATATTTGACGAACAAACAGACATTCACGCTATATTTGTGCAGATTCTGTTAATTTATTGTTTAGAGATAAAAATATGCGGTCCCTGTGTAAATCTTCTAGATATATTATAACAGGAAAAACGTTTTTTTTTCGCATTTGCGGTAATTTTTCGATTCTTAACGGGCAATTATAATTTATGCGCAATAAACACAATCGTCAATAGTTTACTATCAGAGAACGACTATTGTATTGAATTCACTGTCTATGCAAGTGTGGATAAGTATCACGAAGGATTTACCTACTCTAGAAGATGGGAGGCCATGAGACATAACTATTAGGTGATTAAGTGTTCTATGAAGTATGACCTATTAGAGAATGACCAAACACAAAATATTAACAAGTGGCGGAGAGCCATACTTCGGCACGAATTGGCCGGCTAGACCTGAGTAATAGGTACCATGGCCTCACGGAAAACCGACGTGAAACAACGCTTGCGATGTGTTTCGTCGTGTGAGTGAGGTTACCAGAGGCCCAACTTGAATTAATCTACTTATAGACTAACTTTATAGTCCGTCAATCAAATAATTAATGAGTCAATTAAAATTGATGATTTATTACACTAATAACTTTCATTGTCATTCATCAAATTGACACTGACCTATTACAACTGCAATGTTACTTAAAATGTTAGAGACTATTTATAGGGTTTCATATGATATGATGTGACTACGACGACTCTAACATTTGATATGAATCATATCAAACGGTGAAGGGAAATATCGCGAGTAACCCTGGGCTTATAATTTCTAATTATAAGTTTGACATCGCCAACCCGCATTGAGCAAGAGGCCTTTGGTCAGCATTGGCCACTATAGGCTGTTGATGTATGTATAGGGTTTCATATATTACGTTCGTGTACGCAAATAATTAAGTAAATCACGTCACAATGCTTGATTTTCAGTTCAGATCCTTGTAGCTAACTGTCTGGGCCTTGCTAAAAATAATAAGAAATTGCATAAGATCTAATCTTAGACTATTATATAAAACTGAAGTTGGTTTGTGTGTTTGAACGCGCTAATCTCAGGAACTACTAGTTCGATTTGAATAATTATTTTTGTGTGGGATAGTGGATTTATCGAGGAAGGCTTTAGGTTATAAAACATCACGCTACGATCAATACGTGCCGAGTAGAGTGGGTGAAACCGCGCAGAAGTAGCTAGTCTATCTCATAATTATTTGGTACGTACCACGTAGGTATGTCCATATTGTAAATAGCCAACTATTGCAATCAGTAGATAGGTACCTATTTATCTAACAACTGAGATTTTTAAGAAACATAAAGTAATGACAAAACAATGCTGTTTACAAATTAACGGCCATGAGAAACATAGTAGTCACTTCCATAATTATATCAATATGTTACACACGTAGGTACGTGTAAGTAGAATTACAACGCCTAGTCGCCACGGTCCAGCAAAATCTCTAATGTGATGACTTGCGATATTTCAAGTAGATCTACCTATATACAAATGATTAAGTTATATCATGACTTTTAGCTATCTTAAAACGGCTGCCCACTAAATCCAGTTACTAGTAAAGTTTACAACAACAAATAGGATATTTATTTACATATATAGATTGTAATTGTTTAAAACAAAATTTGTACTTAAACTTAAGAACAAACTTAGGCTTCTAATTCTTAGAGACGGCAGAAGTGCACATACATACATACATACATCAACAGCCTATAAATGCCCACTGCTGAGCAAAGCCTCTTCTCACACGGAGAAGGTTAGAGCATTAATCACCACGCTTGCTCAATGCGGGTTGGCGATTTCAAACTTATAATTAGAAATTATAAGTCCAGGTTTCCTCACGATGTTTTTCCTTCACCGTTTGTCAGTGGTGTCTAAATAATCTTAGAAAGTACATATCACTCGGAAAAAGTCACATTGGTACTTGCCGTTGGTAGGTTTCGAACCCGCACCCTCATGCATGAGAAGTGGGCGTCTTAAACCTCCGGGAAGTGCACATATTAGATTGATACATTGTAACACCCAGTTTCCACTATTTGAGCTATGTATGACATAGATAGTACCTAATAGATAGAGAATGAGTCTATTGCTACAGGTCAAAACACCGTAAAAATTCTACAAAAGCCGACAAAATTGCATTATATTTTTACCGGTCACGAAACGTTCGCAAGTCAGGTAAAGAACTCGTAGATAATATTAACTAGTTTTTACCCAGGGCTTCGCCCGCGTTCTTGTGGGATAAAAAAATAGCCTATGTTTTATTCTAGACCATAATCTATCTCTGTTCCAAAGTTCATCACTATCCCTGCAGCCGTTTTTTGTGTGTTCGACAAGTCCGACGCTGGGCAAGGGGTTTCGGGTTCTATTTCCGAGTCGCAAAACTATTACTGGATGTAAAAAAAATCCAGCATAGTCTGAAATTGTGCCCGGTATATGGTAGTAGGGTCACCCCCTATTACATGGGACTCATAACATGAAATAGTAAAAAGTGGGTGTTACATTGTATAATGGCATTAAGTGCCGTAATGTACACCTCTAGCCTAGCCCTTCATTCTTGAGTTAGAAACATACAAACACACAAACTTCTACATTTATAATATTAATAAAATATTGTACACATATATAACTAAGAATTAAAGACAAGAACGTGCCAAAAGATAAGCTACTGAATCATCTCAACCAACATACAACCAGATAAAGGAGACTATCAGTAACTATTTACTCTCAGTAATTAAATATGATCCCCCACTTATGTATCATTGCGTTATTCCAGTTTCAATTCATGATAACCTTGCGGCGCTGTTGAATATGTCAGGAGTGTGTGGGGTATGCTTTAATTTCCGTGTTTGGCAAAGTTCTTTGTTATTTCCATTTCTGTATCAGACTTCCTTTTTCTGAATACTCTTTACTAAAACTGAATCTATAGACCGTAATTGTTTTACAAAAGTATATTTTGTAAAACATATGAAAGGAACAAACGCCTAGTTATTTTAATTTCTTTATGACAAGCCCGCCACAGCCTCCCAAACCTGCTGCAACTCCTGTAAGCCAAGATCTACAGCAGATACAACCATAAAACACCGGAACATTGAAGTCCAGCGCGTCCCAGGGACATGAATAACTGTCTTGGTTCCTGAAACGAAATGAATCAGAAGATATTATAAGAGGAGAAGAACAAAAACCAATATGTATCTTACGTGGAAGAGCTATAGCTTTGGTACATCTTTTGTCGTCGTCGTCTCTAAGGCCCCAATGCTCAAATCCTAAGCCCCCAATGCTCAAATTCTAAGCCCCCAATTAGCCGGCAATGGTTTTGTAACTCTCCAATTTTGTTGGCGTTGGCGTTGGTTGGCGGGTAATCGAAATGGGACGCCCGGTCTGGAACTTAACTGATCTTGCGATAATCAACCGCCAGTTTTGCGGGCGATAATAGCAACCGCAGCGGCTTGAAAATCAATCTTCATTTCGGCACCGCGGCGGGCGCAGGTGAAACGCGCGTCATGAGACCGTAGCGTTATATTTATAGACCTTTTAAAATCAGCATTTTTAACTCTACCGACAAAACATAATATTAGGAAAATAAAACATCAAAATCTTCATATAAAACCCACTTTATTTTTCATCTACCTCCCTGAATAACCTCCGTAACATACAACTAATATATTTACAATATAGACACTAAATTACCGAAATAAATACAAATGTAATGTCCTTAACAATTTCGATATGTTTACACTTACAACATTAAAAAATAAACATTTTCAAAAAAATAAAAAAAAACAGCCATGATTCATAATCTCACAAAAACATAAAAAGGAAAATTAATTAGGTATTTTTTATATAATAAGACCCTAATTTATCTGTAGGTTAACCTTTTTAGGAGTAATTTTATGTTAAAAGAAGTTTTTATACCTCTATCATGTCTAAACCGGTGTATTGAAGCCAGAACCTCTTTGCGGGCACTCGGCCATTTGAAAGTTCACATATAGTATACAAATTTCCATATCCTAATAAACTATGACATTCATAATTATGTTTTATCATAAATCTGAAATCTACTCCAAAAAAGCCAACCAAATAACAAACTAGAACCTTATAAACTAAAATTAAAACTAAATACAGCAACTATTGTATTGTTATTGTTTAAACTTTTAATTAATAAACAGATCGACATCAAGAGAAAACACGTTTACTATAACTTAACAACATTCGCGTAAAATTTCGTCATCCATCTTAATTGATTACACGGTTCAACAATTTATTTTAATTAAAATATTTTTTTCTGATGCAAACTTAAATAAAGCCGGCGTAATTGTTTTAATTATTTACATTATTATGTTATTTTGTAAATAGGTTAATTATATACAACTGATAGTATAATACTTAGTATTCATTTCTTTGTTTTTTTGTTAAAATCTCAGTGTAGGAATGTAGGTTGTTTTGTAATCTCAAACGTGAATGCTTTACGGCGGAAATTAAGTGACCGCTCTCCACTTACTCTATTATAGACCTTATTTCCGATGTTCAGAGGCTACTTTTGTATGAACAAATACAAGAGAAATATAATAATATAGACGAGGTATCTATTCACTCGTCGAATTCTATTCACCCCGTTTTACGGTAGCTAATTTCAATCCCAAAATCTCAGGATTTTTGACAGGAACTAATGTCAAAAGTCAATCATAAAATGTTAGATAAAGGTCTGTTATTAAAACTCACATTTATATGTATAAATCTCATGGTAAACAAGAATATCATAATAATTATAAATTGTATTCTCTTGGTGTCGATCAATTTAAACTATTTCAAAATATTAAGTTATTTTGAACCAGAAATGCTGTGTCATTATCAATTGTTGAGCTCAAAATGGATAATGTTGTACTAATTTTTAACAGGTTTTAAAAATCATTGATTCTTTTAATTTATATATGTAATAGAATATCTACTAGAAATAGGATGACGACAAAATAATTATCAATTTCTCATTTTAAAAAAGACAAAAAAGATACGATCATATTTAGAAGAGGTCAATGCACTTGTTTATTTCTATAGCTAGTTCGGTCTATATACATTTTTATCGAATAGGTATGTTTTTGTGACTTATTTAACTGCATTGAACTTCTAAAAATATGATCATACTCTTAATTTTTTGCAGACTAAAAGCTAAGCTGAAAGTTCTTAATAACTTGCTATTCGCGCTAACTAAAATAAAACATCAATTAGTTACATAGACAATGTTGTCAAACTGAATTAGCTTATTAACAAAAATCACAGTTTACTCATGGGTCGCGACCCTCTGTGGTTCGTCGGCGGTGGACGAGTCATGAGGAAGAACCCCTCTGTGGTTCGAAACTAGTAGAGCTTTTTCTCAGTATATTCACATGAGTAACCCGCGATTTTAGTTAATTTAGTATGTCTCACGATAGTTATTATGAATTAGCTTATCTCAAAATCTGCAAAAACTCAAAAAAGTTCTATAATTTTCACATAAAATATACCGTGCGGTACATAAAAGCTTTGAATTCTAGTTACCCATGCATTATCTAGTTGCCATTTTAACAAATTAATACAATTTACCTATAAGTTTTGAATTCCCGCCATATATTTGACAGCTGTCAAAATTTGTCAACATGGCCGAATACAGAACTATGACAATGTAAAATAAATGTTGTTGGTAACGAAATAAAGTTCAAATTTGCTTGAATAGTAAGCTAGTATTTTTCATGCGATATTTTATATCTTATCATGAAGTTTTTAAAGTTTATTTTGCAATGACAGTAGCTACCATTTTTTGTTTCTTTTTAAAGGTTCAAGAAAAATGAAAAATTCGAATACTATAACATTGACACAGTATTATTTTCATAAGAATTTTCATAGATTTGTAAATTATTGGGCCCGGAGATCTAGCGTCATTATGACCTCTATTTCTACTTACAAGTGCCAAAAATGTAGAAAATTGTGACCTTAAACTATTGAAGTGTCACTACATGCTATTTTAAACTTTACGTGGTCTGCGTTTGGTCGATAATACTTAGTTACTAGACAGCTACCTTAGGTTATTTATCAAAAAGGACTAATCTACGATAGATTGAAGATTTTTAGATTTGAATTATGGACTTTTAAAGACTCATTTTGTGAATGGTAGGATATACAGGGTTTACCATGGTTAGTTTTGTAATATAGTCACTATATTTTTGTTAACAGAAAAACTAAAGATTAATTAATGAAGTTAATATGTAGATAGATATTTTTGGCGAGATTTAAATACTTTTTATAGTTCTCTTCCGATAGTGCCCTTTTACTTATATTTAGGATTTTACACTATGATTATCTTATGTGTCGTGGGTGTGTTTACAAACATACAAGTTCACATACACAGTGACATCTAGACCCGAAACAACAATCTGTGGATCACACAAAAAGTTGTTGCGGGCGGGAATCGAAGCCGCGACACGTTGCGCGGCACCCAGTTGCCCAACTACCGCGCCAACTATGTACAACAAAACAAAATAATGTCTTTAAGAACCTAACTACAATATTTAAAACAATTTCTCTCAGTTTCTTATCCCGATGGAAACCCCTGTATATCCTACAGTTTTACAATTAACAAGCTAAAAGTAGATTTTCTATAATGATCATATCACTAGCCAATACTCAGATTAAAAATATCAAAGGTAAAATTACATGACAGAGTAAAATGTAACTTATGACTATTGGCATAGAGTTTAAAATAAAATGCACGTAGCTTAGACAATATTATTGGTCAAATTCGAATTATAGTAAAAGTTAGATTGCATTATTTTTAAGTATTCTAGAAATTGGGACAAAATGATTCTTCTGAAAAAACCTTTTTGTTATTTCATTCGTTTTTAATTGACCTAGCCATCTAGTCGTAGTACGGTTTCAATTCTAGCATATTTTAAAAATGTCTTAATAAACTATCCCTTGTTTTAAAATCGTATGTAAATCTGTTCAGTAGTTTTGGAGTTATAAAATTTGCTGGCTACATTACATATTGGTTTAAAGGCCATAAGGAATTTTTATCCAAAGAGAAATACACCTTAAACACATTTCAATACAGTTGAAATTTCAATATCGTACCGCCTTTATAATGTACCCACGATACATACTACTTTAATTTCAACCTTATTGTAACAATTTAAAGATTTTTCTTTTTAAAACCCCTTGCGTTTTCGCCCATTGTAATTTCAACCATATGATATCACTTTTTAAGTTACATTTCCAACAGCCTTCGCATAAAACTCACTTTGAAATTTCCTTTTTTTAAAATGAAAATACATAACTCCATTATTAAATACAGTCGGTTAAACAAAAAACCAGTTCTCACACGAGTCTTTTTAAATACTATTTTAATAATAATTCTTATTAATTAAAATTTTTCGTTTACTCACGTAAATGTTGAGAAAATGTCTAGTTTCAGTTTACGCCCACGCTACTCATGAGGAAGAGTCCCTCTGTGACTCGAACTTAGTAGAGTTATTCTCAATATTGACGAGAGTAAATCGCATTTATAATGGGGACTATTGTTACATTTTTGCTCAACAGTTGACGCTAGTGTGTAACTCTCATTTTTGGTCTAATAGGAAATTAGCTAATATCACACCGTTGGACGTCCAATCGTAGTAATTGGCGTTCCATAGTCTCCTACCCCCATGGGAGACAGGCGTGAGGTTATATAAATAACCTCATATACATACATATGTATCCACGTTCAATATATAACAGCTGAGCAGCGATTGGACAAAAACCCCTACTTGATACATCTGATGACCAAAAATCCCCCATAATTAGCCCCCATTAATGTAGTATGTGTACAAATAATTACCATTAGCTATAGTGTCAGTGTTGTTGTTGTTGTTGGTCGTCAGTAGTGTTGTTGTTGTTGTTGTTGTTGTTGTTGGTGGGCGGCGCGATAGATGGCAGTGCGGTAGTGACGTGCGTGTCCTTGTCGAGCGGTCTGTACGACCAGTTCCCGCAGCCGTCGAATTCTAGAACATGCGTGTGGTATTTCCTGGGGAAAGAATGAGAATAATTTATTGAAATAAACATTTTACAGAATGAACGTTAAGTCAACAGTAACAGGGTTTCCTATTACAATAAAGATACAATACAGTGCTTCAGAATATACTAAAATTAAAATATCAATAAAGGTATATTAACAGTGATTCGGAAAATTCCATTATTTGACAGTGGACCGCCCGATCTTGGTTAATTTAAACCTGTGTTTCAGGCCATCACTTTACAGTTCATTATCATTGCGACAGAAAGATTTATATTTATATATTTTTAATTAAATTGGCTTTGATTGACCATTTTAATTTCTATCAATGAAGATTGAGGCCAAACAAGGGGTATCTGGTTCGTTTTGCGAATTGAGCAAAGTATTATTATATTACTGAATGCATTGGGCTGGTTATAAAGATTTTTTTATTATAATTATTATTATTAATGTTAATACGCTCTACGTTCAGTTCAATCGTTCATGAAGAATCATAAGAGTATACTACGTTATATCACGTCTCATAAATAGAGAACTTCGAAACTAAAAAGCCTAGATATATTTTGCTGGACATGAGAACCAAATCCCTGGTATAATATCTAGTATTTTGCGAATGTTATTATACCAAACGCAACACTCAAGATGAAAGAATAGTAAATAGAGAACCACTGCACCTTCTTTCCTGTTATTGTTGCATTATACATCTTATGCGAGTAGTAATAAAGCTGGACTTACCAGACGCTAGGCCTGTGAGTGATGGACAGTAGAGTTATTCCCTCTTTGACGGCCTCCTCGTACATGACGACCTCAGTCTCCATGGACACCGCGCTCGTACACTCGTCGAGCAACGCGTACACGGGCCTAAGGATATTTAAGTATTAAGGTTAATTACAAATTATGGAGTGATTTCCTTGATTATAACATGAAACTACCGCTTAAAATCATCTCGTTTTTTCTCAAAACTATAATTTTGTTGGAAATATTTTTCTCTAACTTTTTAGATGTTGATAGGTATATCGTGTATGAGAAATAAGTTTCATTAAAATCATTTCAGTGGCATTAAGAGTTGTAATTTGTACCTCTGCCCTTTGGTGATAAAATGCGGGATGTTATAATTAAATACGTTTCAGTAACTTCCATAATTGAATAAAAATTCAGTGTAATACTATAGCGTACCTAATGAGTATCTAAATAAGTCAATTAACGTATGAATCGTAGCAATTGGCATTCCTTAGTCTCTGCCTACCCCTATGGGAGACAAGCGTGAAGTTATGTACGTAAAATCAGGAGCGAGATAAAATCGCTTATATTTCTAGTTGCACAAAATTACTCGCCGTAGTGCAACCGGGGCCTAATTGAAAATGTCTCACGCCAGTTGCGAAGAGAACCACTAATAGGTTAATATAAATGTCAAGTGACCTGTGGTAGAACATCCTGGCCATGGCCATCCTCTGCTTCTCCCCGCCGGAGAGCGTGGCGCGCCAGTCGCGCACGGCCCAGAGCCCGCCGTGGCGCGCGGCGGCCGCGTCCAGCCGCACCAGGCGCAGGATGTGCGCCGCGCGCCGCGCCGCCGCCGCGTCGCCCGCCGCCGCGCGGGACGGGTACGTCACCTGGTCGATCAGCGAGCCCTGCGACATGTACGGCCTGCGCCCGGCGGACGGTTCAATCAAAACTAACATATTTATTTGTAAACATAAGTACAGTGGAATGTTACAATTCAGTGTAGACAATGGGGACCTTTATCAAAAATAATTTTGTTTGATTTTATGACCAATTTCATTTGAATACTTTTCCAGCAAATAATTTTTTTAAGAAATAACTATTCTGTTTGAGGCAAAAAAAATGTAACATCGCAATACACAATCTTATACAAAATTCATAGAAAACTGTAATCTTTCACAGTTCTAAAAAAGTATTGAATTTGACTAGCTGGCAAGTATTGGGTACTTGCTTACTAAATTGATTTAATATGTTGATATGTAATACCCAAAATTTGTTCATACAAAAGTAGTCTCTAAACACCGGAAATAATGAAGATAGTGAAGAGCGATAAGAATTGAGTAGTTAAGAGTGGTTTAAGCGTGGTACAACAGTGGTATCAATGTAGGATGAAGGTGGCTTGAGAATGAAAAAGAGTCCTATGATTGTGGTGCTAGATTGGTATAATAGTGGTATTAGAGTGGGATTAACAGTGGTATAACGTCTTTACGATAGTGGTATAATAATGGTATAAGGATAACATGAGGTCATCACGATAGTGATTTAATTTTATAATCGTGATAATATGTTAGTGGTACAAAAGTGGTAATGGTACAATATTGGGCCTTATGAGAGTGGTATGAGAGTTGAGTGGCGTAGAGTGTGTGGAGTGTATTGTATCGGCGGCCCACAATGGTCGCGCCAGCAGTGAGTGGTGGGTACCTCTGCGGGATGTAGAACATGATGGGGCGCGAGGTGCAGTAGCCGGCGGGCGCGCCGCCGTCGTCGGCGCAGTGTGCGCAGGCGCACGGCCGCGGCACGTGCAGCTCGCCGCCCCACACGGGCCACAGACCCGACACTATACGGAACAAGCTGCGGGACATCGGGCACTATTGTATACATATATGGTCACAAATATACAACTAAATACTTTAATAACTTGAATGTCTTATTGGGTTCTCAGGGGCGTGAAATAAAGTTCGACACACGAACTACTGTAAAACTGTATATATATATTGATTGGATTAAACTTTAAAATAAATATAAAAAAGGCACAATAATACAAAACTCAAATATTTCGCGGCACAAATACGGAGCGCGTGCGTCACGGCTCCGGCGCGGGACTCGTTGTTCTGTTTCGCTTCCACGTAAGCGTCGAGCGGTCAGTGGCGGGGAAGCGGGGGAGGAATAGTGAGGTGGCGAGTTGCCACTAGAGTTGCGCGCGTGCGTCCGACACAAACCAATATCGAATTGCCGCTTTACAATACTTAACTCGTCGAGTACCGGTTTTGTAGACACAATTTTAGAACAATAGATTGCGGTCACCGGTGACCGCTTGGTGTTTGACAGTTTAAATCTTTTTGCGTTTTTGAATTATTAATAATGATTCCTTTAAAACGTCAAACCTTTTTAATCCCGATGGGATTGACTGGGGTGCAGTTAAGTCATGCGTCTCACGTACTATAAGATGAACTTATTGCCTTATACCGAACTTTATCCCATACTCCGGTAAACTACTGAGAAAATATGAAATACCGAAAACACCCCAATAATGCTAAATCGAGGCCCCTTGATTGGCAATGGGGGCTACCATTTTTTTTTTGCACAAATGTAGCAAGATTATTTTTTCCAATCACTGCAGCTATCAAATTCTGAACGTCCAATGATGTGGCATTAGCTAATTTCCTATTGGACGAAAAACTAAACTTCACACTAGTGTCATCTAATGTGCCAAAATATAGAAGCCCCAATTCCTTTTGACCTTTCGACATGGGTAGCTTTTTCTTCAAACAACTGCATAATATATTTATTTAAGCCTAGATTTATTTCCATATCCCATGATTAATCATACTAATAATAAAATTGGAATTAAACTTCAATATATTTTTTTGACAGGAACTCCCAGTAATAATGGGTATAGGCTTCTGGTTAGTTCCATAATATATAGTAACACCTTATTTACCTGGACTTCCCGCATCCATTAGGTCCAACAATGAGTAGATGCGTCCCGGGCGCGATGTCTAGAGAGACCCCGGCCGCCACTACGTCGCACGCCGGCGTCACTATGGGCACGTTGCGGAGCTTTATCGACAGGTCCGATGTGTATATTATTTTACCTGGGGGAGAAAGAAATAAATGTTATAAAGGATGTTGTAATTGAGACAACTGTTCTATGTTACTCGACAAGTTTCAAGCTATTCCAGGGGCCCATACAGCTACTATCGACGTGACGTTGCGTTGCTAACGAACAATAACTGTCGCGGAGAACCTGACGGGTAACTGGGGCTCTGGCTCGACGTGCAGGAGAAGGAACGGGGTGGTTTTTAGTCAGTGAGAGTCTGACACTCCCTCCCGCCTCACCCAGGCGGGAGCAGTCATTCGATGAAAATCCCCCCTTAAAAAAAAACGAACAATAACTAGTCGAGTACTTTTGTCGAACACTTATGTGAATGAACTGTGCACAGTTGTGTTTGTTGTAACAAATAATTTATCGCTAATATTCCTTTCAGTATTTTATTAAAACACAGAATTTTAGTTCTTGTCTAATTTATACTGTATGAAGAAATCAATACTAAACCCTGACGACGTTGTTACTCGTCACTACTAGATATTCGCATGCGGTTTCTTTCGGCGCTCGGTTCATAGAAGCGTAGCGTGATATTTCATAATTTTATTGCTTTTTTATTTTTTTTTTATTCGATCCCATAGTTCCGGATGTTTACGCATTCAGCATAATTAAAAAGTAGAGGTATGTATGTACCGTCGGGCACGGGCGTGTTGTCCCGGAAGGTGACCTGGAAGGCGATAGTAGTAGAGGTATGTATGTACCGTCGGGCACGGGCGTGTTGTCCCGGAAGGTGACCTGGAAGGCGGCGTGCGGCTGGACGTGGACGGCGCGCACGCAGCGCCCGCGGGCCACCTCGCCGAACACCACCAGCATGTCCGACACGCGCGTCGCGTACCCCGCCAGCGTCACGATCTCCTGCCAACACACAGTCAAGGGGTTCATATTGCATAATTAGATTAAAACAACCAAGTTAAGAAGAGTTGCATTAAAGAAGGGCCAAATTAAAAGTACCCTTAACCGACGATCATTTTTTTTGGGACAAGCCCGCCACAACCTCCCAAAACCGCTGCAACTCCTGTAAGCCAGGATCTACAGTAGATACAACCATGCAAACACCGGAACATTGAAGTCCGGCGCGTCCCAGGGACATAAATAACTGTCTTGGTTCCCGCAACGAAGTGAATCAGAAGATATTATAAGAGGAGAAGAAGAAAACACTACAGTTTCCACTTCCCTCGGTGAATTACTGCAGGAGACAGAATGAATTAAGCCTAAAGGCACAAAGAAGAGACTGTACAACTGGGTGAAGCCCAGTCGCCAAGCACCACGGAAATTTGACTAAAAACTAAGTGGGTCCTATGTGTGAGCTGTTATACTTGCTTCCAATAATAGGTATGGCAAAAGCGCCTAAAAGCACGGAAATTTGCTCTAGATTCCACAAGGTCCGTATAATAAGCTACACCTGTCGAAACAATTAAATTATTTAACATAGTGTTACGTTCATATTGCCAGAGATCACACTCCCAGAGTATGTGATGGGCCGACTGCTCGTATTGCAACTCCACTGTCGAACATTGGCACCATGGTGAATCAATAAGTTTAAATGAGTACAATTTGCTTTTAAAGTTGCCGTGGCCAGTAAGAAATTGGGCAACACAGTGATCCACCTCCAACCATGTCCTCTCCAGCCGCTCATGCACGGATGATATAGGTATAGGCGGCGGCCCTTAATAGAAGATGCCCATCTACCCTGCCATTCAGTTATAAGCTCATCCCAAACGTCCGTTATTGGCTTAAACAATCTAGCAATTTTATTTCTATTACGTTGTGCTAGAAAGCTTGCTGACAAATTAGGTCTCGCACTGTAGTACATAGCCAGGAAGTACGCCCGCGAGCACAGGTAGGGCTTCAGTGCTAACCATCCTATAAGCCTTACACAGGAAAATCAAGGCTAGATGCTGGCTAGAAGAAGTTTACCGCGCCTATCAGCCCAGGCAGGTGCCCCGTAGCACACGCATCCCAGGTAGGTTGCTCCGTATATGATTCTGAGCGTAAGAAAAGGGAGACCCCAGGTGGCCTTTGAAATTCGCGTCAGCGCATAGAAGTTATTTTTGGCTTTCTCACTAATAGCCTTAATATGCTCAATGAAAGACAAGTTTTTTTCCAAAACTAGACCGAGATAGCAAACAGACTCCTTTCGTTTTACGAAACGTTGTTAAATTTAATAGACTGGTAAGTTTTATGGGGTGCAAAAGTCAAGCGATTTCGTTCGCCTCATCGCGAGACACCTGAGACAGGCTTTAGCCAAATTCTCCAGTCCAGCGCAGGTATTTAACTGTACTAGCAAAAGGCCATCATCCGCATATCCAGTCAAAGTACAGCCACAAGGAAGGGGAATCGCGAGCAAATCATCAAATCCTAAATTCCATAAATACGGGCCAATAACCGAGCCCTGAGGACATCCCATTGATAAAGACTTCGACCGAGAACAATAACCAAGCTTCAGTTTAACGGAACCGTGAAGGAAATACGTGTATATTAATTTATATATGTTACTAAAACAGCCACGACCTTTCAGTTTTAAGAGTAACATTGGCCACCATGCGTTATCAAAGGCACCGGAAATGTCCAGAAAAATGCCTAATATATACTTGTGCTCAGACGACTTTACCAGGGGTCGGACAGAAAGAGCCGCGTCGACGGTAGACTTTCCTACAGTGAAACCATATTGATTGTTGTGGAATTTTGGTCCACCTGGCAGTAAACGAGGAACGATAAGTCGCTGAAGTAGTTCCCTAAAGATGGCAAATGCGTGATAGGCCGGTATGACTTAAGGTCATCGGGGGGTTTATTTCCATTCTTGGGGATTATGCGAATGAATCCACGTCGCCATACACGAGGAAAGACGCCTTCCGCGATACAACGGTTGAACACAGTTAGGATCGCATCAGTCGCGGATTTGCATGCTTCTATTATCATTTTATTTGAGACTTTGTCTTCACCAGGACCCACGACCAAAAGCAATGTTGGCACAGTAAGTAAAGGCAATCTGACATGATTTCAGCACCCTCCTCGGTGGAGAGATCTCTGCGAGTTAAATTTCTGGCTTGAGATGCAAATAATGAACTAAAAAAGTTCCAATCCGCGCCCTTAGTCTTGTACCTAAAGCTATCATTGCAATATGTTGGACCCTGGGGTAATGTTGAAACAAACTCGTACACGATCAGGCGATGATCACTACACGACGCATCTGGTAGGACTCGCCACCTATCCAAGCTAACGTCTGCACTAGAAAGTGTGACGTCAATACAAGATTCGCCCATTTGGCTGCAAAAAGTAGGTGGTGCATCAGGGGTATTATGAATGGAGAGATTCATTTCGGCAATGAATTCTTCAACAGCACAGCGCCGTTCCATGTCAGTAGCCCCGACCTTGCCATACCAAAAGGATGATGACGCGTTAACGTCAGCACCAATGATAATTTTGGAGCCCGCAAGTGATTGCAAGACGTGACGGAGGTGATGAATATGAGGAGTAACTGAATCAGAATATTGAAAGTAACAGCTCACAACAACCGACGAGCATGCATAAAAAGATTGATTACTGTTGATGTAGCAAAAGAGGTATGTAGGAATCGTAGTTATTGGCGTTGCATAGTCTCTGCCTACCCCCAGGGGAAAAAGGCACGAAATTATAAATGTATGTTGCATGCAAGACCCGGAACAACAACTTGTGAATTATACAAAGGGTTGTTCCGTGCGGGAGTCGAACCCGCGACACGTTACTCGGCAGCCGGTCACCCAGCCACCGCACTAACAATGCAGTCGAAATCCATCATCAGTCACAAACAGTCATCATTAATAGTAGCCTACAGACATCATCAGTCACTACAAGCGAGCCATCAATAACAATAACTTACCTTGTAACTGGACATGAGCCTCTCGATGGCGTCGGCGGCCGAGTTGAGTAGATTCCTAGATGTAGTCATGTATTCAGCGCGGTCACTTATACTGCTTCCTGTGAACGATCATATTTTCAGCGTTTTAAAACAGTTTCCACGAAAATACAGTGTGTAGAGATAGAGGGAAAGTACCTTAAACAATTTTTATAGCTTTTTTATAACAATAATTTTTATAACATTCGTCGACGTTGCGGCCTAAAATAAACCTAATAACAATAGCATAAAGTAAAAACTCTACTAACCATCTCTTTGCGAGTGCGTGGCCGTCAATATAGGTAATGCCAACATGACCATCCCAGTCCCCGACCAGACGTACTTCATACAGAACTGCTCCAACATCACGTACCAGAGCTTCTTGTTGAACACTGACGTCATCTGCGCCACTAGCTCCTTGTAGGCGGCTTGGAGCTGACTTAGTTCCACCTGGAAGGAAAAGGGGTGATTTTTAGAAGATTTAATACTGTAATACTTTCTACATACACACATAAATTCACGCCTGTCTCTCGCATGGTAGGCAGAGACTATGTAACTAGAGAATTGTATTTTAAACCTGATTGGAAAAGAGTAACCTATGGAGTTTCTTGCTCGTTCTTCTCCATAGGAATCTACACCATGGAATGAGCAACTAGCTTCACTTCAAAATTTTTGTTGTTGACGTCCAATAGTGACATCCTGGTCTAAGTGAAATAAATTATTTTGACTTTGACTTTGTAAGGCCAATTGCTACGATTCTTACATACCTCTTTCGCTTCATCAACAGTCATAATTTTTTTTATAATAACTATCTTGGGATGTACAAAATGAACTAAAAATCGCGGGTATATCACTTGAATATACTGAGAAAAACTACTAATTTTGAACCACGTTCTTCCTCATGAGCAGCGTGCTTTCAATATTTTTATGCATGCTCGTCGGTTAAGGCTACTTTTAATTAGGCCCTTCTTTAATATACTATACTTACTTAATATACAAGGTGTAGTTTTGAAACCGTGACATTTCTCGGGGGCATATCACAGAAGTCATAAAGGTTCAATGTAAGAGAAAGTTTCGGGCCAGTAGTTAAAAATACGGCTATAATAAATCGTTTTTCGACAGTATTTCAGAATACACGACAGCAATGTTTCTTATTGGAGTTTTATGGAATTAGTAATAATATCAATAACGTGTTTGAGTTTGTTAAGCCGCGTTATAAAGCTAGTTACAAGACGGCGGTGTGTAGTGCGCACTTACGGATTTCCGTAATTTATAGAAAAATGAAAAATATTTATTTACCTACCATATTTTTAATTGATTCGGACTCAGAATCGATAACCGAGATACCTCCTAGAAAATGACGCGGCTTTAAAACAACAACTTGTATACTATACTTGTACAAATATTGTGGTTACGAGTTTATACAATGTCTTAGAAAACTTCTGGTATTCTGCTTAGTTAAAAATGTCATGTCAATTTGCAAATCCGAAAAACTAAATATTTTGCTTCACGAATCGTAAAGCTGTTTGTTAAGCTCTCCATTTTTGTTGGATTGCTATTTATCCCTGCCATACATTAGGTATCCGTATCCGTATTGTGTATATCGTATATACACAAAGTATCCGCGTGCGTAATTTTTACTATAATATTATTAGATACGATTTATCGATGGCATATACTTCCTAAATGGGACTGATTGAGAGTTGTAACCATAGTTTACAAAATTCGCCAGCATACAAATAAATAAAGCTTTTGGTTTCCACAATATACTATACTATAGTGAATTTGACGAATTTCTCCAAATGCCGAAACAAACTCAGAGGTGCGTCTCTTTTAAAGTCCAGAAAAATATGTATGAAAGATAGATCTGAGAACCGTGCAAATTCATTCTATAATGGCCTTTTGAGGAAAGAACCACAACAGTTTGAGCGGACCCGTTCTGATGGCAATACGCATGTGTCGATTTACAATTCACAATCAGCTCAATTAACCCATTCAATAGAAAGAAACACACGCCATTTAACAATAAATAAACTATAAATACCTATAAAACAACACTGTTTAAGATGCCCACAAAAACGTAACTAATTACTTTTATTTTGGTCCAAGCTTCATACCTTATGTCCACCGTAGAAGGCGACCTCCTCAGCGTGGGCAATGAGCCTGGCGTGGACATGCCTCAAGTTGGCCTTCATTCGCGCCTCCTCACCGGCCAGGGCACCGAACTTTGGACTCAACAGCCGCAACAGCTGACCCGTCAGGCAGATCACTACTGTGGCTATGCTGGGACCTGGAAAATAGAAATTCGTTATGTTGAAATATAATGTGATAAAAGTGATTATTATTTTTTAGAGTAACTGTATCCTTTACTATCTATTTAGGTGAATGGTTTTTAGCGCGACTTCAGCAAAGGGATCTCAAGTCCAGTGTCAAACAATGATTTCAAAAATCTTAATAATTGCCGCCAGTTTAGAACTATACCCCATGTATCCTACTAGGGCCACCCCTAATATAACCCATTGGTAAATCGCGACAGTGAATATGTCCCCTCAATCCCAAATAAGTTTGTTTATCACCTCTTAATGCCTAATCTACATTGTGTTTTTAAAAAAATCTCAGTGGTAGTACGGAGTCTGGAATTCTGCCCTGTGTATGGCAATAGGCTCACCTCTATTACATGGGACTCATAACATAAACAGTGAAAAGTGGATGTTACATTGTACAGTGGCTTTAAGTGCCGTAATGTGCACCTCTGCCTTCCCCTTGGGGATAAAAGGCTAGGTTATATAATGCCTAGTCTACAAAAAAAATCTTGCATACATAATGATTATAGATAGAACCGAGCAAGGATAAAACCAAGTAGATCCCATAAATTTACAAAAAAGTAACACATACCAATAAATATATTGCCCTTCATCTTGTTGGAGTAGGTGGCGAGGGTTAGCACAATGAGGAGCAGGTCGAAGCATGGCTTCGTCAGCGAACTGTACAGGTGGGCCACTGACTGTGTGAATACTGACACGTCTTCGGTTAACCTGGAAACCAAGTAGATAATATCGATACAATTATATTAAATCAATAAATTACTAAGAGGTAGCTGTCCAGCCTAAAAATAGCCCCGGCCTTTCATTTCTGAGGAAGCCCTCTGATGATCCAATTCTGATCGATCGACATTGGTATTGTGAAAGTTTGTACTCTTCAGTGCAATACTGGCGCCAATTGCATCCGTATTGCGTGGATATTGAATGAACTAAATAGTATTGAGTTTGGCTTTATATTCCGTACTGTGAATGCTATTTTAGCAGCTACGATGGGGATGTACAGTTTTAAATTGAATATTTATTGAGACTTTATTGGATTGAAATTGCATTGACATTGAGATTGGTTTCCAGAGTAAGCACCCTGGAAAGTCCTGCTCACATTACAGTAGAACTAAAAACACAACTATACATCTTTTTTAAGGGGGGAAAACCATCGAATGACTGCTCCCGCCTAGATGCGGCGGGAGGGAGTGTCAGACTCTTACTGACTAAAAACCACCCCGTTCCTTCTCCTGCACTTCGAGCCGGAGCCCCGGTAACCCGTTAGGTTCTCCGCGACACAACTATATGTCTAAGAATCCAAAAATTATCAAAACTAGTTTGATAAACCACTCACCTATGATCTGCATTTTCAATCCTAGCATCTAAATTGGCGACCCTATAGTAAGTCTGGTTCTTGAAGTAGAGGTCATAGGCATGGTTCACCAGACGGGTTCTGAAGGCCAGGGCCAGTCTGCTCTCCAGGTATCTGATCATGGAATTGATGAAGGTCGCTGGAATAGCTATCCCGAACCACTGGAGTAGCAGCATGGCGAACCGACGCATGTCTTTTTGGACTATGTGTTTTACTGGAATGAGATAAGAGTTATTTTTAGTTGCATAGTTTTATGCATGAGTGGTGTTCAAATGGTATTTAATGTTTCGTGTCAGAAAATGTTATAATATTAGATTTTTTCTAAATAGCACAGAATAGTCTTTTGTTAGATAATAAAATCGCCTCCAATTTGGAATTGGCGAAAAGTAGAATTACGTACATACGTTTATACGTGGGCCTTTGTAGCACTTGTATTTATCGTAACTAAAAACATTTAACAATAACATATCTACATCAGAAAAACTTCATCGAAATTCATTATTTAACTCTGATATAGCTAAAAACTTTACAACTTACAAAAATTTTATACCAACCTATAACCGCAGAACTTCATAAGTATATAAGAGTCTAAACTCACCAATAGATCCCTCCAAGGAAGCTACATAAATAGACAAGAAGGTTCTTGTGAAGAGGCACAGGGTATGTGCAGACAGTATGGCGACCTCGTGACTCCTTACTCCTGGCACCATTATGCGGGCGAGGGATATCAGCTGTCGGATAAACTCCAGGTTCAGACCTGGAATGTGTTCCTCTACCGATTGGGTCTCATCTGCGTCCTCCTGGAAATGGATTATAATTTATTAAGGTTAATTAGTGTAGGTAGGTGAGAAACAGATAGGTACTTAAAATATAATCATCCTCGGCGTAAGATCATTTTTTTTCAATGGGAGAAGCCCGCCACATCCTCCCAAAACCGCTGCAACTCCTATAAATCAGGATCTACAGTAGATATAACCATGAAAACACCGGAACACTGAAGTCCAGCGCGTCCCAGGGACATGAGTAACTGACTTGGTTCCCGCAACGAAGTGAATCAGAAGATATTATAAGAGGAGAAGAAAAAAAAATGATAGTTTCCACCTCGGCGTAAGATCAGTAAAATAATAAATGTATGAGTTTAAAGAAGGCAGATGTAAGAACTGAAAGTGAAGAAAAACGGGCTATATTTCAAACAAACCCACCCACCATAAATCCCTAAAAATGCTGACACTCTTTTAAACCAGGATCTACAACAAATATAACCATGAAAACACCGAAGCAATGCAGTCCAGTGCATCCCAAGTACATGAACTATTTCTGATCCCGCAACGTAGTAAATCAGAAGTTAACATTAGAGTAGAAGAATAGGAACAGTTTCCACTTCCGTCAGTATCGATATTTTTTTAATACCGGAGACAAATAAGCCGGAATAATATTCTGTGGCTAGTGCCCAGTTGCCGACTGGCACGGGATTTTGAGTGAAAACTAAGCAAGTCCTATTATATGGGGCCTGTTATTACACTTGTTTTCAATAAAAAGTATGCTAGACGTTATACCACGCTTCCATACTGGTGATGACAATGTTGTACTTACAATATTCTGTTTATTATCTGTGTCGGCGTCTCCTCTGCACAGCGCACACTGCTCAGCCCCGCACCGGCCGCCGCATGTGTCTCCATTCGCTGTGCCATTATCCACATTGTGGAGTTTGCCATTTTTAGCAACCTGGGAAAAAAACACGAGTTTAGACCACTTGTGAGGCTGACACACAAGTAGTATTAGTTTCAGGAGCAATAGAACGCCAAATAACATAAGCCTGAAGTACCTACAGCTTCTATTTCTTTATTGCATGCTCATCTATTTAAGGTTCTTTTTTTGACTCGTACCTAACTTCACGCTCGATATGCCTCTCTCGCAAATCTTCTAGTATTCTTTATTTGAATAATACGAATTGGCCAATCACCTTAACGTTCCTTTTTCAAATTCTTGTCACTAGGTACATTTTCTTTCAATTCGTTTCAGTTTAGAAGGAATATGTGCATTATTTAGTAGAGTTAGAACTGAATTTACTATGCAATAATTGAAATAAGCACTCCTATGCGCTTTGACTTCGGATTAATATGAACTGACCCTCGATGTTATAACAGGAGGCACCAAACATGGATTTTGTCATCAAAGTGGTTGTTTAATTATCAACACAAATTACTCTTCTTTTTCTTAACTCGACTTTCTTCCAAGAAGACATGATAAAACTAAACGATATAAAATGAGGAAATAAACAATACGTATCTACACAATTAAAAAAAATACTCACCTTATAATTATTATTGTTGTTGCAAGGAGGTGCGTGTTTCTTGTCTCTGGTCCCATAGACTGCGCAGGCGGCTAGAGCTACCCCCACTCCAACTCCTAAAGCTATCGAGGGTTGTACCCTCGAGGCCTGTTCTCTGATCTTTGTCAAAATCGCAGGCATTTTGGAAATATTTTTATATTTATATATTTATGAACATTTATGCTTAAATTATCGAGATCTTTGTCTTAAATATAAACTGTTCCGGGTGGTTTCAAGTCATTACAGTGAGTTTTCGTCGTCCATCGTTCTGTAACAAAGAAAAAGATAGTTTAAATATTTTTTTTTTCTTCTTTGGCAACCGAGTCTCCACAATGGTGAAAGGGCGAGAGTTACACACATACACACGATATATATGATAAAAATATCGTGACAATAGAATAAGGTAAATGTCATGTGTAGAAATAGTGTTACAGTACCTACTTATGGTTCTAGGTATCCTAATATGTAGGTATGATCAAATATTACTTACAAAAGAAACAAAGATAAGACATAGTTAACAAAATTGAAATTTTACACAACGCAAAGAGTAATATTACTAAAATACTTAATTAATCAAACAAATGATGAATATTTAAGTACGTGATTAATGGCTTATTTAATTAGTTATATTATTGACTCTTACACCTAAATAAGAATACTAGTAACACTAGACAAGCTACTTTGTGTCCTTTTAATGTCTTCCTCATAGCTGTCTCATGCATGATTGATTGATGGTTTAAAACAAAAACTATTTACTAATGAACATTATTCAAGCAAATATAATACTAATTAAAACAATGTTAAAGGTGACATCCTCAATAATCTATCTAAACGTCAAAATAATTTGTTTTTGTATAGAATCTTAGTTGTAAGTTTAATGTTGTAGAAAAATAAGAATTAATGTAACATAATAATTAGTAGAGATTTTATATGAATTAAGACAAAATAATAAAGGGCCCATTAGTCGAGACGAATAGCAAACCAATTAGGTTTTAGCAAATAAAAATCGTTCAGTTTATTTTCATTATTAGAAGGGGTTTTTTTTGAGGGGGGAAAATCATCCAATTACTCCTCCCGCCCGGGTGAGGCGAGAGGGAGTGACAGACTCTTACTGACTAAAAACCACCCCGTTCCTACTCCTGCACTTCGAGCTCGGAGTCCCGGTAACCCGTTAAGTTCTCCGCGACTCCGAATCGGCAATTATTAGGAGGGTAGAGAGGCATTTGCCCTGAAGGGGGACGATCTGGATCATGGCTGTAAATAAATAAAAGTAATAATAGTTTGCTTGGATTCCAGCAAGTAACATTCTTTTTTTTTTATTGGGACAAGCCCGCCACAACCTCCCAAAACCGCTGCAACTCCTGTAAGCCAGGATCTACAGTAGATACAACCATGAAAACACCGGAACACTGAAGTCCGGCGCGTCCCTGGGACATGAGTCTTGGTTCCCGCAACGAAGTGAATCAGAAGATATTATAAGAGGAGAAGAAAAAAACTATAGTTTCCACTTCCCTCGGTGAATTACTGCAGGAGACAGTGAAGTAACATTCTTATTAAAGTTAATTTAAACCAAAATACTCTAACAACCATAGTAGTAACCTAACAAAACGTGCGAATTCATTAACAAAGCACCCAACTTATTTTATATTTTTTGCTAAAGGTAATAACTACCTAATATAAGTTGGCAAGACCATGTTAATTTAGCAATTATCTCATAAATACCACATTTTATTGTCCAATTAAGCTAGTCGCTTTAATTGACACACATTCATGTTTCCTATTTTTTTTTATTTGCAATGTCAAAGTCAAAGATAATACCTATTAATCCTAATTTATTGGATCAACTTCTGACATTTTTGCAGTTGGTATTTACTTTTGTATCTTTAAATATTTAAATGTAGGTTTATAGGTTTGACGAAAGAAAAAACACCTATTACGTTGTGTTAAGTATGTTATCCCCTTTTTTCACTTCTCCGTGTTCGCAAATAAAAAAAACAAATATTTTTACATAAAATTCAATGCCAACATTGACCAATACTGTTTCTGTCATAAAGCTTGTTTAATATAAATAAAAACCAATGAATCAATAGAACAAGTTTGATTCCAATATTAATATAATACAAAAATAATTACCTACTCAAAAAACAAGATAAATTACTTTACAACGTTTTGACTATTTTATTTATCTACTTTAATTTATTGAAACTATGTTTATTTGGTAAGTTGTCTAACTTAATCAGTCTTGATTTTAGCCAAAAACATAGGACACAAATCACACAATCTTAGATTTAGATGAACAGATCTAAATTCTTAAATAGAGGCAACAATTCCGCATTAAACTGCACCACAGGAAAGTGAATAGCCATTTCATGAATAGAAGCGCAATGCGCATACAATCCGCACAATTGCAACGAAACTAGCGCAGTGTACCGCATCCTTAATATGACACAGCTATAGACAACTTTCCTCCTGCGGTTTCGACTGCGAGAATTAGCCCTTATCCAGCCCTGTGAGAGTCTAGTAGTTAAATTTTTCTGTGTTTTCTTTACCACAAATTGATATTATAATCATCACAAGACATTCTTTTCCCTTTCCTTATTGTCACACGTCACACACTGCCTTTCATCATATAACTATGTTAATAAAAATGGATCACCGAAATGTATGAACACCCATTACTATCCAATGACTGCATCAAATTGTATTATTCTTTTTTATCATGTTCGTTATTGTTGGGACAATGTTTATATAAAAGGAACCTTCATCGGCAACATCGAGAAATGGCACCCAGGTGAAGCTGGGACCGGCCGCTAGTTCCTTATATTTATTGAACGCTATTTAGATCGTCACGAACTGAATCCCATCTGTCCTATCACGTAGCTTTCATTCTTTCTCACCACCACAGCACCAAATAAAATACTGATATAAAACATAAAAAATACATATAAAACTGACAACAAAATCTCATTTTAAGTCTTAATTTTCGGTTAAACACATGGTCATATTACATCACGAACCAGAACCAGAAACAAGGTGAACTCAAAATTTAAGATATATATTTAATAATTATGTATGTTATATATAACCTTACTTAAGGTAACAACTTCCATGAGATTGCATAATGCGAAGTCAACAAACTTATATCATATACGAATACGTGTTTAATCGTTCAATTTAAAAAAGTTTGAATTGATTATTTCTTCGAAAAATCTTATGACAATGCTAATAACACCAATTTTCTCTGATTGAAGGCGAATCAATTGCTATACAACAGATGCAATTCCAAATTCTCAATCTCTTCTATTTTAACTCTTCCTTAATCTTCTTCCTGCCCTTATCTTAAAGTACTTAGTGTTCAGCACAACACAATAATATTTTCTTCTATTTTCCTTTATTACGTGCATGACTAACTCCTTTCTATATTTTCTCACACAGTCCATCCATCTCATCTTTGGTCATCCTTATCCCTTCCATCCAAGTTTAGATTACTATAGGTACAGGTTACAAATAATGACTCGATTTGTATGGATTTTCAAGAAGGGGGGAATCATTGAATGTCTTTTCCCGCCTTAGCGTCAGATTCTTACTGACTAAAAACCTCCCCGTCCCTACTCCTGTACTTGGAGCCGACGCCCCAGTAACCTTTTACGTTCTCCGTGGCTCCGTATATGCATCAGCCCTATTAGGTGCCGTCTGTGATGGTCTGATGGCTCTTTGAAGCACGCGCCGAACGCGTGGACGACACAAAAAAAAATTCAAACAAAACTAACACATACCTGTAACGCTTCCTTTCCTAAAATAATGATAATGGGAAAAGCCAGAATTTATTTGCGCTTTTTCCTATTCAAAAACTTGCATTTTTCTTATTTACCTAAAATACACAAAACACAAATACAACCTCTGCTTGACAAAGAGGCATGCAACGATGTTACTATGTTTGATATGAAAGGGCATCAAATAGGTGTTACTACAGAGCAATGCCACAACATAAGCGAATGACATAAGAGGTCGACTGTCTGGTTGCGCAACGTTATCTCAGTAACCGATTACGTAGCATTAAGTGATAGATCTGTCTTCACTGTACATTCTAATGTTTAGGATGGATGTAGACTTATCTAGATTTAAACCGACGGACCTGATGGATGAAAAGACTGAAGACTGTTGATGAAACGAAAGAGGTATGTAAGAATCGTAGCAATTAGCGTTCCATAGTCTTTGCCTACCCCCATAGGGGACAGGCGTGAGATTATGTATGTATCTTAACGGTCATCTATGCATCCATTCATAAAGTCAGCGTCATCAATCTCTCCATAATATCCTTTTATTCGACGAAGAGTTAGACAGAGAAGCACGTAAGACCAGTTATGCTATGGGTCTCATTTATCCACCTTCTGGTAGTTTATTTCTCCATACTGAGCTCAAGTTTTGACAACAGTTCAAAAAAGTTTTATACTACAGAAGTCATTTGCCTCACTCGGGGCCAGTGTGTAATCTATTTTACAATACCGGCTTGGTAAAGCAATCGTCCATTTTTGTCTAAGATAGAAACAGTTACAAATTACAACAATCCATCTACCTGCTTTTAGATCCCAGATGTAGAAATTAAATATTTCAGCACTTACTTAAGTAATAGCTATTTTGTAACAATATACTGAAACTGTAGACGTGAATGCAAGACCACAATAAAACCTTAAAATCGATTTACAAATCGCATTTGTCAATAAAATATAACAATATTTGTTATTGGGAAATGTAATGTAGTACAATAAATTGAAATATATCGACCGTTAAAAGAATCGGTCTAACTAAGCGACATTTTTTACGATATTAAGCTAACTATCGCAAAAAATGTCGCTTAGATCATTTAGCCTTCCAAATGTCGATATCAAAATCTAGATATTGCTAACCTCAAAACTGGATAAAGGTTTAACAGATTTAGATTCATTTTGTATTGTGTTTGTTGTTCGGAGGAGAAGAGCCAAAGGCTTTAAGAAAGGAAACACAAATAGGTCACTGGGAAACTCGACATAATTTAGTCTAAACCTGAAGGAGCCACTGAATGATCAAATGTACCGAAAAATCAGCAAAGTTGAAATTTCAGTAGTTACCTTTACAGATTTAGTTGTCGACTGATATAATACAAAGATAAAAAAGCAATAGACACCTTTTTATTTTATTTATTTATTTTCAGCCATGAGCCACTGCTGGTCAAAGGCCTCCCTACCCTCCTTCCACTCCTCTCTATGTAAAACTTTTTGCGGCCAATGC